TATTACCAACAATTATTCCAATGCTCACAATCCACCAATTTTTTTTAAATTTTGATTCAACTAAACCAACAAAAATCACAAATATTCAACAAAATGTCAATAATTTCAACATTTACTACTCAAAATATCAACCAACAAGCACTTAAAATAGATAGGAAGAGCTTGAGATTAGAAAGATTATACCGAGAATGTCGTGGGTGTAAAGCCCGCAAATGAACCTTTCTAGTACTCCTTGATGTTGATTGAAGTTCCTTGTTCACCCAATTTGCTTAGAAATTCAAAATTCAAGAAACCCCCAAATCAATTTGAAAGTTAGGGTTTGAGGAAATTTTGAGATTTTGGGGTTTAATGGTGAAAAGGGGTAGTAATTCGTTAAGAATGTTGAAAGGAGAGTGTGAGATTGTAGTTTAGAGTAGGAATTTGAGTGAAAAATGGAGTTTTAAGGGTGGAAATAAGGTTGGAAAATAGTAGTAGTAGTATGGGGTATGGAGGAGGAAAAAGGAAGGAGGAAAACATGTAGAGTGAGAAAGAGGAGTGAGAATCGGTGAAGGGGGGGTTGTATGTGAGGGTTTATTTTTATTTTTTTTGTATGAGAAGCTAGAGCGTGCTGCTAATGCGGCTGTGCCAAATTTGGCATGGACGTGCCAAAGGGTCCAAAAGTTGGTAGTAGCTAATGTCTTGATTTCGGGCATTCTACACGTCCATGCAGGGCCCTAGACCTGCACTTTTTTTTTGTTTTTTTATGAGTATATATATACATATTATATATTTCCCATATTATTATCATTATTATTGGAATTATATCCTCCAAAAATTTTTTTCTCACTTCTCCTTTTATCAATTATACCTACAAGGATAATAAAAGACAAAGGGTAGTAAAAATTTAAAATAAGGGGAGTGAAATAATAGTCTAAGGTGAGAAACTCGGGTTGCCTCCTGAAAGCGCTTGTTTAACGTCACTAGCTTGACGACATTACAGGATCAACGTAAATGAGGAACATCAAATTCATCAAGGTGAACAACTTTTGCCTCTTTATGCACAAAACCATCAAAGTATGGCTTTAGTCTTTGGCCATTCACTTTGAATGGTTCTCCATTTTCATTGGAGATTTCGATTGCACCATATGGAAACACCCTTTTGACGGTAAAAGGCCCATTTCATCTTGATTTTAGCTTACCCGGAAACAACTTCAACCGGGAATTAAATAACAAGACTTTGTCACCTTCCTTGAACTCTCTTTTGTTGATATGCTTGTCATGCTAAGCCTTGGTCTTTTCCTTGTAGATCCGTTCACTCTCATATGCATCCAATCTTAGCTCTTCCAAGGCATGGAGGTCAAGCAACCTCTTTTCACCGGCATTTTGAAGGTCAAAGTTCAACGTTTTAATAGCCCAATGAGCACGATGCTCAAGTTCTACCGGCATATGGCATGATTTCCCATATACAAGCTTGTAGGGTGTAGTACCAATGGGAGTCTTGAATGCGGTGCGGTAGGCCCATAGAGCATCATCTAGTTTCATAGACTAATCCTTTCTAGACCTATTCACCGTTTTACTCTAAGATCATTTTTATTTCCCGGTTTGAAATCTCGGCTTGACCACTTGTTTGTGGGTGGTAAGCCAATGACACCTTGTGCCTCACACCGTACTTTTCAAGGAGAGCTTGGAAGGATCGCTTTGCAAAATGAGATCCTCCATCACTAATGACGGCGCGTGGCACCCCAAAACTTTGGAAAATAACTTTCTTGAATAGCTTGACCACTACCTTAGCATTATTATCATGCATTATCAAAAGGGATTACATGACCGTATTAATAAACATTCAAGCCTTATTTTAAAATTTTATCATCCATCTAGGCATCGCCCGGGCACAAAACTAGTCACTAATAAATAAAGTTGGTCTCGCAACCAGGCCATGAGATAGCGACACTTGGCATCTCAGTTTTTCGCCAAGTGTCGTGTCACGTAGGCGTCTAATAGGTATTATTATGACACATATAATTGCAAAATAATCGAATTATCGATAGATTTTTGAAGATAAAAATGTTGTATAGCGTTTTATTATCGATACACTACTAATATTTCATATATACAAAATTAATCATAACTTTTAATAAAAATCTAATAACTCAGTTCTATTTCCATCCTAACATTCATTTTAAAAGTTCTTTACAATAAGATCCATTTATAATATATTTAAAATAATAGAGAATTAGTAAAAATAAGATTTAATCAGTAAAAATACTTTCAGTTTAGTAAAATTAATTTAAATATGATATCGCATGTCTAAATATCCTGCATTATCAAAAGTGATTATATGACCGTATTTAACATTCAAGCCAAAAGGTTTATCCTAAAATTTAATAAACAACCTAGGCATCTCCCGGGGTACAAGACTAGTCACTAATAAATAAAGCTGGTCTCGCAGCCGTACCACAAGACAGCGACACTTGGCATTCTAGTTTTTCGCCAAGTGTCGCGCCACGTAGGCGAAAAATATGTATTATTGTGACACATATGTTGCTAAATAAGCGATTCTTGGATAGATTTTTTTAAGATAAAAAATATTGTATAGAGTTTTAATATCACTATACTTCTAATAATTTATATATACAAAATTAATCATAATTGTTAATAAATATCGTATAACTCAGTTTTATTTCCATCATAAAATTCCTTTCAAAAATTTCCTTAAAACAAGATCCATTTATAATATATTTAATTTAGTTAAAAAAATAGAGAATCAGTAAAAATAAGTTTTAATCAATAAAATCAATTTTGGTTTGGTAAAAATACTTTCAGTTCAGTAAAAATAATTTAAGTTCAATAACAATAATTTCAAGTCAATAATAAATTAATAACATAGATACCTTTTTACAAAAAAACTACAAAAAATACACTATTATATGATATTGTATGGCTAAATATCTTGCATTATCAAAAAGGATTATATTCTCATATTTAACATTTAAGCCAAAAGTTTATCCTAAAATTTTATCAACAAGCTGGCCATCACCTGGGCACAAAACTAGTCACTAACAAATAAAGTCGGTCTCGCAGCCAGGCCACGAGACAACGACACTTGGCATTTTAGTTATTCGCCAAGTGTTGCGCCACGTAGGAGCTAAATAGGTGTTATTGTGACACATATGATGCTAAGTAAGCGATTTTTGGATGGATTTTTTAAGATAAAATTGTTGCATAGAGTTTTATTATCGATAAAATTCTAAGATTTCATATATAAAATATTAATCATAACTTTTAATAAATATCCTATAACTCAATTCTATTTCCATCATCAAATTTGTTTTAAAAAATTCTTTAAAATAAGATTCATTTATAATATATTTAATCACAAAATTTTATACGTAGCAGGTTTAACCGAGTCACCAACTATTACAAGAGTTACTTTGTTAGTGTTATATGGGTTACTTGGTCAATGTTATAGTGGTTACTCAATCAGTGTTATAGACAGGGGTTACTTAGTTAGTGTTAGAGGTTACTGAGTTAGTATTACAGGGATTACTTGATTATTATAAAAAAATAAAAAATTATCAGAGCGACGCATAAGATTATTATTTTTAAAATTTATCTTGAATAACATTAAATGATTAATTTGAGTTGATTAATGGAACCAACATTATGATAATTTTTTACAAAAATTACATAAGGAGAGTTTTTTCAAGATATTTCAGAGCGTGACATAGGAAAATGTTATATTTTAGCCAATAAAAAAAGAATTGCAATTTATTTTAGATCTAAAATTTTATATTATTATAAAAATAAAATCAGCGCGTTTTCTATGTGGTTGGCCATATCGTGTGGCCGACTAAGACACACCAATACTCTAACAGGGTAACCCTTGACCTTCTAAGTAACCCCTGATCGATTAAGTAACACTTGACCAATCGAGTAACCCCTGATCATGTAATCCCGACCATACGGTGTGGCCAGCCACATATAAACTTTGTGAAATAAAATATTATCTTTTTATATTAGGAATTTTATTTAAATATGAGAAACAAAATTAATAATTTATTTATAATAAAAAAATTCAAGTAGTAAGCAAGCAAATATAATCACAAAGTTTATTAGATAAATATATATTTAGTAAAATATTTTATTTGGAAAATACAAACAAACCATGCATCGCACGGGCTTCATCTAGTGACTACTATTTTTGAGTTTGATGTAAAAGATTGGAAAATGATATGTATATGATTTTTTTTTTTTATATATGATAAGGTTAACTAAGTTCTAGCCAAACGCTGCGCTTCTACTACGGAAAACCTGGTTGGCAATGCCTAGGGGGGGGATTTGTTCATAGTGAGTCGGTGAGGCTCATGTACGTATGAGGTTTGAGCCTCACCCTTGGGCCACTACACCAGGTGGTCTTTCTCATGATATGTATATGAATGGAAAAGTTTTTTATGCAAACTATTTCACTTACAAGTATTTTGGACGTGTACTATCAACCATGCTTGATATTAGAGTTGAGTTAGCTAGTATTGGTAATGCTTAACCAATCTTGTTTGGTGGATCGAAAATGATGGAAAATTCATTTTTGTGACTTTGAATTCATCATTAATTAGTTTAACTCCTACCTTTTACATATGCTTAAGATTGATTATGGAGATTCTCTTATTCAACTCCCTCTTTACTCTCAAACGTTAATTTGTGTAACTGGACTAGCTAATTTACCTGTGCGAGGAGATAGTTTAGTAGAAGGGTTCTTCTCCTTAAAAATAAATAATTAAATAAATAAATAAATAACATTGGTAATGTTTATGGCTTAGCTCAACTGAAATTGAATTAGTTACAAAGTAGAATTTAGTGAGACTTACAATTACAATATCATTTATGGCCTATTTGGTAATGTGGATTTCATTTCAAATGATGGAATTGGGCCAAATATCTTGTTTAACTATACTACTAATCTGGATTTGTAATTGGGCCAATTCCAAGCTATGTAAGAAATATGGCCATTGTTAGGAATTTGAAATCCATTATCAAGTCATGTCATTTCAAATCCAATTTTTCTCCCATATCCCTCTTTCTCTCTCCACGATATTTTCTGAGAAAATTTTGCCCTCAATTCTTTCTCTCTTTCCTACCTCTCTCTCCTGTGCTGCCATTAGAGAAGCTGAGGTCAAGCTTTTTCTTTCCTCGGTAGACATTAGAGGAAGTTCAAGTTTCGAAGCTCTAGTATTGGACACAGTGTGTTCACCAATTTCTCTCCAATCTCTTTCCTCAGGTACGCTCTATCTCTCTCCATTTTGTTGCTTTTGAATCCTTTAATCTAATGCTCAGATTATTGTTGTTTATCAGTTGCAATTTTCTTAACCCTAATTTCTGTAATTTGATGAGATTTGTCGATTTAATCAACCCTAATTTTTGCAATTTGATGAGATTTTGCAATTTGCTCAACCATAGTCTTTATGTTTCTTCAAATCAAGGATTAAACATGAATTTGGAGTAGATATGCTATAAATTGATTAAATTTCAATGATTATACGCCAATCGGTCTATGCTGGAATTCATTTTTGGTCATTGATTAAATTTCAATGATTGTTACGCTGTATATGATGAACCGATGGCTGCGACTGTATTATTTTTATTATTATCTTTAATTGCTGTTAACTGTTTAGACCAAGAATTCTACACTATGCTATGAGCCCATGAACATCATATTGAGATGAAGCAAGATCAGTTTGTGATTTTGTGCTTGATAATCAGTTTGTGATTATGTGCTGATAAAATATTCATTTAGATAGTAGTGTATAATACTATAATTAACTCAGGTTAGTTATAAATATGACAATATCATTCATTTTTAATAGCAATGTAATAGTGAGTAGTCAAAACTGAAACATAGATCTATCTCCTAATAAGATAACTAAGCTTTGTTGAATTTCTTTGTCATTGCCCAGCACTAAACTCCCCAAGCCACTACATATCAGAACAAATTCATTGAGAATTGGGACGATATTTGTACTTTGTTTGCTTCGGATAGAGCAACTGGTGACGGAGCTGAGCATCATGATGAGGCTGCTGCTGCAATGGACACCGAAATTGAAGGGATTAGTACCTCCGAGACTTCTTCCAGAGGATCAAACAAGAGGCTCAAGAGAGATCGTCTAGCAGATGCAGTGAGTTGTTTTGCAGAGTCGTTAGCAGAGCGCAAGGGCCACTAAACCAAGTTCACAAGAGATCTACGAGGTAGTCTCGAGTGTACTTGGGATTTCGCGTTACCAAGTCCTAAAAGCTGTGAAAAGGTTCATGAATGGGACGGTTGATGAGTTCGAAATGTTAAAAAACCTACCGGAAGGTGAAAAATTATATTGGGTTTTATTATGTATTAATGAAGCATTTTTATTTAGATGTTTGTGAACTAAAGCTACTAGCTAGATGTTGATATGTTGTCTTTTTGTTGAGAGTTTGTTAGCAAAATGTACCTTGGTTTGAAATTTAGGATTTGAACATCCTTGTATTTCCAAACAGCTATTAGCATTTGATATTCAAGATTTGAAATTTCTTGTCTTGCCAAACGACTTTTAGAATTTGCAATTCAAAACTGTAAATTCTTAACTTTCCCAAACATAGGACTTGGAATTAAATTTCTAGCAATTGAAATTCTTGAATTGAATTCAACTATTTGAAATGAAATAAATGTATCCAAATGCAACCTTAAATAAATTGCTACACCAAAAATGCTAAATGTTACAAAACCAAAAAAAAAAAAAAAAAATGTTGTCACAATTCCATGTGGTCAAGGATGTGTCATACATTGATGATTTTTTTTTTTTTAGCTCAAACCGCAAGAATTGATTATATTAAAAGAGCCACTTTGTCAGAAATGACAAAGGGTAAAGAAGGGGGTGGGCAATCCTCCATCCATAGCTGCTCCCCGGACAAGGTAAGGGAGTGCTTAGCTAGCTATGGAGTGGGCCACCTTATTACAAGATCTTGGCTGAAAATTAAAGCTACAAAAATCACACAAGCTAGCAGCATGAAGGATGTCGTCCACGAGTAGTTGAGTGGAAGTTTTCTCCCTTTTCTTTGAAAACAGCAGGTTGATAAGGTGCAAACAATCTGAAGTTGCCATAAGCCTCCTAAGCCCAGCATCAAAAGCATAACGAAGACCAAAGAGCATAGCTTCAACTTCCGCATTGCGAGAACTCTGCGTATCCAATAAGCCCTCCCTCCAGCCATCATTACATCACCGAGATGATCGTGCACAACCATTCCTAAGCCAATTTTCCCCTCTTTTGAGAAAGCCGCATCTATGTTTACCTTAAACTTATTAGGGGGGGGGGGGCTTCTAGCATGTATCATCCCTATTTTCCTCAGAATATATATATCATATTAGGCTCACGCAAAGCTGCCACTTCAAACTCTCCAAGAAGACTAAGGGTCATCGCACACACCATAGGGAGCTCCATTTTCTTATTCTCAAACAACCACAAATTGCGCACCTCCCAAATCTTCCACTAGAACATTAAGAAGATTTCCCATCTATTACCCAAGGTGAGTTTCTTTGCCATATCGCAACACCACTCCTCTACAGAAGCCTTTTCCCAAGCTCTAGTGTCAAGTCTCAAAGGTGAGAGCTTCCATATAATCTGACTTTTAGAGCACAAGACTGCCATATGCATTAAAGACTCTCGATCCTCCCCACATCGTGGACAGAGAGGGTCAATTTGCATTCCCCTTTTGCACAATTCCTCACGAACATGCAGACCCCTTCTCAAAGCACGTCATAACACTGATTTTACCTTAAGAGGGACTTTCGCTTCCCATATTTTCCTACATATTTGAAGGCTTTTAGCTACATGAGAGGGCCTCGCATTGGGCTAACTTCTCTTTAGTTCAAAGTGGTAGGCAGGCGAATAGAGAACTCACCATTTTTTGTGCCTTGCCATTGCAAAAAAATCCTCCTGCTCACTTTGGGGAAACCGAATATTGGAAATAGCTTGAGTCTCAAATTCTGATAATTCTTGCCCCACGTTCCAGAACTTTATTCCCTCCTCGTCTATTTTAATCCAATCAGCAACATCAGATTTTGCATTTCATCAGAGCTAGGTGGTGAAAAAAGCCGAGAACCAAGTAGACTTGCAATCCAATTGTCACCCCAAATTTTCACAGATCTACCATTCCTAAACACGCAACTCGATCCTTCTTTCAACATATTTCTAGCACTCAAAATGAAACACCACACGTAGCTTGCCGAGAGAGGAAGTTTTGCATCCCAAAACGAAGATCGAGGAAAGTATTTTCCCTTGAGAACTCTAGCTGCCAGGGAAGACGGATTTTCCACTATTCTCTAGCATTGCTTTGCGAGCAAAGCCATGTTGAATGCCTTCATGTCTCTAAGGCCAAGCCCCCCTCTTTCTTTGCCTTACACATTTTTTCCCAGCTTATCATCACCAACTTCCTCTCCCTATCCTTTTGCCCCCACCAAAAATCACAACACACTACAATAATATTTATGACGGAATCCAGGAGTTTGAAGCATTGTATAGCATACGTCGGGATTGCTTGGGCCACCAATTTGAGTAGGATTTCTCTTCCCGCTCTTGAAAAGTACCTCTTTTTCCAACCCTTAACCTTCTTCCATACTCGATCTTGGATCACTTGGAAAACAACTTTCTTGGATCTACCTATATAAGTAGGAAGACCGAGATATTTTTCATGTCCTTCAACTTTCATAAAGTTCAACTTCAATTGAAGTGTTTTTTGTATATTGGTGCTAACATTACGACTAAAGGATACCTCTGATTTTTCCAAATTGATCTTTTGACCTAAGGCAAGCTCATATGTAGTGAGAATGTCAAGGGTCGCATTTACCTCACTTTCATTTGCTCCAGTGAAGAGAAAATTGTCATCGGCAAAAAACAAGTGTGAGATTGGGTCTACATTCCTACCAAGTTTCACCCCATGAATCGATCGATTTTTCTCGGCCTTCCGTAGTAGAGCAGAAAGACCTTCTGCGCATATTAGGAATAAGAAAGGGGATATAGGGTCGCCTTGATGAAGCCCTCTACGCGGCATAAATTTCGAAGAAGGGAAGCGATTAATAAGGATTGAGTATGAAATCGTCGACACACACCTCATGATCAAAGACACAAAGTTATGGTTGAAACCCAATTTTTTTATCATTCCCTCAACAAAACTCCACTCCACTCTATCGTAAGCCTTACTCATGTCAAGTTTCATAGCCATGTAACCTTGGATTCCAGATTTCTTTTTTCGGAGAAAATGAAACATCTCATATGCCACAAACACATTATCAGTGATTAACCTCCCTGGCACGAATGCACTTTGATTTTCACTAATAATGTAAGGAAAAATTCCTTTGAGTCTATTCGATAACACTTTCAACACAAGCTTGTAGAGAACATTGAACAAGCTGATAGGGCGATAATCTTTGGTGGATTCACATTCTTTCTTTTGGGGAATAAGAACAATGTGGGTATGATTAATAGTATCGATTGGAGCATTATTGTTAAAAATATCAAGCACATGAGAAACCACATCGTCACCTACTATGTCCCAGAATTTTTTTGTTAAAAGAGAGCAGGCATACCGTCGGGGCTTGGAGCCTTTACGGGATGCATTTGCTTAAGAGCACGAGTTACTTCCTCCCTTGAGTATTCCTCTGTCAACATGGCATTCATATCCTCGGATACACGAGTGTCAACTGCATCAAGAACCTGTTGCATATCATTATTGCCATCCGAAGAGAAAAGTAACTTGAAATAGCTCTCAAAGACTTCTTCCATTTCATTCTCATCTTTCCTCCAATTTCCACCATCGTCATAAACACCCTTGATAGTATTTCTATGTCGCCTCTGCTTAGCCTTTTTGTGAAAGAAGGCTATATTTTTTTCGCCATTGTGAAGCCAATCTTGACAACTTCGTTGTGCCTAATATGCTTCTTCTCTCCCCTCTATCTCATCAATCTCCTTATCAAATTCCTTCATTTTAGCAATGTTGTCTTCTGTTGGCTCAAGGTTCATTAAAATAGCCATTCTTCCTCTACGGCACTTGATCTCCTCGACAAAATCAGTCGATTTCTTTTTAGCTCCACGAACGTAGCCTGGTAGAACAAGCCTTAATTTTTTGCTTCACATTGCTACCTGGATCCAGGTTCCAAGCCTTGGAAATAATATTACCACAATCATCGTCACGGAGCCATTCTTCTCAAATTTAAAACCCCTCCGTCTTTTCTTCTTTCCCCTATTAATTACCAATTGTTTTTTAATGGTAATTTTTAGCGGTACATGATCGGACTAGCGGCGAGGCAGGTGTTCAACCATCGAACTGGGGAATAAGTCAACACATTCCTTCGTAGAGACAAAGCGGTTTAGGCACTCTTGAATGTTATCACCATTAGCTCGGTTATTTCTCCATGTGAAGGAAGGTCCAATAAAATGTAAATCCCTGGGATTACACCTGTTCATTAAGTTTCGAAAACCATCTATCTCATTCTGATTTTTTGGATTACCTCCCCTTTTTTCACTGTGCATAAGAGTATAGTTGAAAATCCCAAAGCATAACCATGGTAACATATTCCCTTCTCCCAATTTTTCTATAAGCTCCCAAGTCTCATGTTTTCTCCCTTCAATTCCTCATGGAATCCGTACGTAGATTCTAGTTAGACGCCACACACTACTGTCATCTTGTTTCAGTGTGAAGTCCATATGATTCGATGATGAAGACACTAGAGTAAGGTCTATCTCATCTCTCCAAAACATTACCAGCCCACCACTTCTATGCCTCCCTTCTCCACTACAGTCAACACATACGAAGTGCTCAAAATTTAGCTTCCTCCTTATACTCTCCCACTCGTTTCCTTTTAACTTCATCTTAGAGAGAAAGACAAAGTGGGGATGTTCGAGACGGATCACGCCCTTAAGCGCATTCTCTGCACGAGGGCTCCCTAACCCCCGGCCGTTCCAAGAAAGGCCAATCATTGTTGTTCGCGGGGTTGCATTGCAACCTCCGCTATTGTCATAATGTGAAAGTCATTCTCCTTCCTTCTGATAATTTGATCTTGCCTCTCATTTTCCCCTCTGTACTCCTCTATATGATTTTCCAACTCTACGGTGTTTTTTATTTTGCTTCGGATAATCTTAGAAGTTTGCTCAGATGGTCCACTCCTCTTGTGAATGTGAACTTTCCTAAGAGTGCGAGTAGGAAGGGTTTCACCATGTGGAATTGGTGCATCATGTTCATTTGACAGATTTGATAAGGGGTCATCTTTATTCAACTTCTTATTCTCCTCGTGAGGCGTGTCTGCATCCTTCTTTTTACCAAGCTCATCTTTGGCACCTACTAGCTCTTCACTCGGTACAATGACCACATCTTCCCACTGTTTCAGCATTAAAGTAACATCCGCCTCTGTTTCTTTTCTCACATTTTTGTTATCTTTTTTTTATAAAAAGTCGTCTAGCGCAACTACTACTAGTACCTCTACTGTCATTCTGATGCTCTGAGATCTTCATTGAAAATTTTCTTAGGATTCTCCACATGTACTGCTTTGTCA